GTGTGCTTGACATTAAGGAAATAATGAAGACGACCAAGGTGTATTATAAGAAATTCTTTCTCCAAATCAGCTAAAATCAACGATAGAACAGAACTTGAATATGCAATTAGGAATGTATCATCACGAACTGTCATTTTGTGATGCTGCCTGAAATGAACATGGAGCCGTCGATTCTGCTGCAATTAATGCCTGTAGGAGAAAAGAAAGATGTAAAGTGTTGAAACTTATCCCAAGTGCTTGTGCAAAACCATTTAGCCATTCTTCCCTTTGTTTCTTCATATAGACATCTTTGTGCAATAACCTAGGAAGGAATGCATTCTTGACTCCAAGTTGATGTATAGCCTGTTGATTTGAAGAAGCAAGAGAGAGAATGTTCCTAATTGTTGCTGGTTTCATGACCAGACTGGAACTCTCATCAAAAATGAAACTTGGTTGTTGCTGATTACCTTGGCAACCAAATAAGTGTTACACCATGAGGAAACCTGAAGCTTTTTGTTTAACCTCATAAACCCACAATAATAAGCTCAACAGGTGGAGGAACAAACTGCCAAGTGTTATTTGCTAAGGGACATCAAAATTCTTGTACCACAGCTTGATGCCAGATTCATTCTTTAATCACCTGAGAGTGATTGACAGGCTTCTCTTGTAAATCATGCAATAAAAAAGATCTCTTGGAGCATAATAAGTTTTCTGAGGAGATCTGATTCTCATGGGGCCACACACACTTGCCCTTCCGTGGTCCTTTCTTTCACTTTCTTCTTTCTTTGCTGGTTATTAGGGCATAACATTTTTGCACTTTAATAAGGCATAGCTTATGTATTCTTGACATGCACTTCCTTATTGTTGATTAATTTAATGGTTTCTCTTATAAGATAAGCAGATTCAATTCAAGGCATGTAATTTTCTTGCAAAATAAATATTGCATTTCAATTTTCTGACCCTTTCTTTTGTCATACTTTTGAAATGCTTAAGTCCTTACATGTTTCATGGAAATTTCAGAAGCATATAGTTTCTAAACAAAATTCCTATCTTGCTGGGTAAGGGCTTATGCAGACAAAATAACAGTATAATATGGACTGCAAATTAGAACTAGGGAAGGATAGAGGTAGGAGGAAATGAGGGAACATGAAATGTCTCAATCAGAGGTAGTCCACTGAGTACTGGTAAGGGTTGATGCAAGAGTTTCTGCCTGACTGTAGTGAGAATATCTTATAAATATTAACAGTTTAAGTACTTCGTTGAACTGATATTCAAGTTTTGTATTGTGATGTTTGATTTTGATGCCTGTCTATATATCTTATGGGACTATTGTTTTTAAGTATTGTTGAAACTTTTCTCTTCTGCATTTCCATAATTCCAGAATATGTTCTGAACCTGGTATCATATATCATACACACCGTTGATCACAATTAGGGTTCAGTTAATCCTAACAAATGTAATCCTTTTTCTGAAGCGGCTAGAATATTTCAGGATTGGCGAAGTGATTGATGATGATGTGCTTCATGCACGAGTTCCTTTTGTTGCCCGTACGCAGCAGTGTTTTGCTGTCAAGGCTGGAATAGATGGACTTTTGGATATTTCACGAAGAACATTTTGTGATACCAGTGAAGGTGTAGCTAAAAGCTACTGATTTAAATATCCTTATCTATTCTCTTCTACTTTATTATTTTATACCATCTACTGTGGAATATTGCTAATATAAAAACTATTCAAACTACTAGCGATACATAATCTTGCAAACAAGTACCGTGAGGAATTCCAGTTGCCAAATCTGAAACTTCCTTTTAACAACAGACAAGGCTTCTATTTTAGTATTCCACAGAAAGATATTAAGGGAAAGCTTCCCAGTGAGTTTATTCAGGTCGATATTGAGTATTTTCTTTTTCTGGAGTTAGCTGATATCAATGAGCATATTGTTGGTGATCATTTCTAGCTTATGTATGCTTTGAGACCTAATGCAGGTCGTGAAACATGGAAATAATATACGTTGCTCAACTTTGGAACTTTCTTCTGTAAGTTTCACCATCAACTAAATATTGCACATTCCATGAACCAATATATCAGTTTATCTGATATAAATCTTACATATGACTGCACTATTTCATCAACCACCTTACATCATCATGACATTCTTGAAACTTTAATCTCAGGTTGTTGGTTGTTTGTGGAATAAATGTTCTAATATCTTGTCTCAGTGACAATTGAGGCATGTAATTTTTTTTGTGCTGAATCAGATTTTCTCTTACAAATCGAACCTTGGATAATGGAGGGGTTATTGGGTTCAGGGATCTTGTTGGCCTGGAACTGTGATTCCACTTGTACTTCTTGCGTTCTGTCTTGAATGCCTTGAAGCCCTGCAATCTAACTGAATAGCATCAAAATGCAACCATAATAATCTTAGGGAAGAGATGTCAGAGAAGAAAATAAGTAATGGGAAAAAAAAACAATTCCAATTATATGCTCTCTTTATTGCTTTAAACTTGCCTTCCCATCTAATAGCAACAATGTTTAAGAATGATATTAGGAACTAGAATATACTGTTACAGCCAAGGGATAAATTTTTTGTTTTGTTGTTGACAAATAATTACACGCCAAATGTGTTTTGTGTTTAAATGTTATATAATCACATTCATTTATGTACATCCAATTATGCTACTTTAGAAATAATATTCTTTTTGTGTTTGGTTGCATCCAAATTTGCAGCTAAATGTTAGAAATAAGTTTGCTGCTGGAGAATGCTATATCCGAACAGAAGTTTGTTTAGAAGGTTATGAAATTTTATATTTGCTTATCCATTTCCTTTTTTTTTAATTTACATCTCTTTCAATTGAACAAGTGCTAATTTTGTGAATAGTTTTCATGGCATAACTGGTATAGTAATGGTGCACCATTTCACTAGTGAAATTATTTCCTTAAAAGTTTAGCAAAAATAATCAGTTACCATATTTGTGGAAAACACTCAGCTTTGAACATGTACTTCTTTTTCTTCTTTTCGGCTCCCTTGAAGAAACTAGGAAGAAAACACTCAAATGGAAGTGGGAACGACCCAACAATGACCAAACACATTAAAAAGGATAGACCAAAGCCTCCAAGCCACTTCTTGATGGCAAAAGGTGATAAAACACATAAGACACACAGCTAGAGAAGTGGCACTGTTAGGTATGTGGATTTCAATAGCCTACTACTGTTGAGCTCTTCTAGAGCAGCCATTCAAGTGAAAAACCATTACTTTAAAGGGAACTTTACCCCGAAAAACAATAATGAGATTGAGGGAGAATCTGTTAGATGGGAAAAAAGAGACTTGCAAAAAAAAAATTACAAATTAGAGGACTCTGATTATCAAATTCTACTATTAGGAAGTAGAGAGAGATGAAAGGGCTCATGGGATGTTGAGCAAGGAAATCATGTCTTCTGATTCATAATCTTTGAGGTTTCCAAAGAAAGAACTCCAAGAGGTTTGCCCATCTATTTGGTTAAGAAAATGATCTATGGGGGTGTGATTGCCTGAAGAAAAGGCTACAAAGGCAAGAGAAAAGAGTAGAAAGGAGGAGATCCTCGATCAGATATCTTTCCAGAAAAAAAAGTATGGGAGTCATCATCGGCTTTTAGCCTGATAAAAGGGAGGAAAACACCAAAAAGCTGCAAAATGACCTTCTAGGGTTCTTGTGAGTGGAACTACTCCTGGCTAAATAATTCTAGCCATTCCTATGCAGTCCATGAGCTTTGACCTATAAGGTAGCCAAAAATGTTAGTCTGTCCAACTCCTTCTGAATTGATGAATAACTATTAAGAAAAAGAACATTTGATTCTGCTCAAGCCATAAAATCTGTAACCCTGTAAAAATTGATTGCATTTTAATTTGGTTTTAGTGGAGGGTACCTTATTGTCTGTGCTTGCATTCTTCTCTTCCTTAATAAAACTTTTTTTTATGAGAAAATACTTAATCCTTGTCACCTTGTGCCACAAGGAACAAAATTCCAAAAGAAAATGCCAAAGTCATTTAGCCAATAAAGACAAGATATATTGTAAGAGATTCACAATAACTAAGGCACCATTCTCTAGGACGACAAAACACATTCCAATGCGCCGGATTGTCTCCCAAAAGTCTTCCACCATATACCATAATGAATCCCTTGTGATCCTCTCAACTTTAGCAGCTACCAAATTAGGGATCCCTAAACAAAGAGAAATAATCTAAAGGAATACTAGATACGTAAGCCTTGGTATGGGTAATCCTGCTCCAAGATAGAATAAACTGTTCTTCAACACTCAAGCCTCCTAGAAATCCCATTCACTACCATGTCTCCAGAAGACTCAACCTGAGAGTTACCACTAAGAGAGACACCAAGGTAGGTAAAAGGCCTAGGTCACGACCAATGAACCCTGCAAGCCAAGAAATGGCATCCTCCTCCACATCAATTCATGTGAGCCCACTTTTGGATAGATGGATATGAACCCCAAATATACTCTCAAAGACCTGACGAAAGGTAAGGACATTTTTTACCCTTTTGTCATTATTCAAGAGAAAGAGAATACATCGTTTGCAAACTGTACATGAGAGATCTGAATGCTATCTACCACAAAAACTAAACTTCCACCAATCCTCTCTCACATTCATGGTCCCCCTGTCTCACCCCCTTCACACTCGAATCCAAGATTTAGGCTTTTCTTTAATAAAGATAAACAACCATCAATCCAACATCTCCATCTAATGCCAAACCCGTTCTTGTGCATATGCCTTTATCCAAAAAGCCACTCTTGACCCCATCATAGGTACTTTCATAATCTATCCTTAGTATTCATAATCCAAAATGAATATGTAAATATTCTTAGAATAATAAGGTGCACATACATCAGCTTCCAGAAGCAACTGAATTAATTTGACATACTGTAATTGTCTTTTGGAACTTGGGATTGTTGTTAATAATTGGCTGTAAAAACCTTCAACATAGTTTTTTTTTTTTCATTTTTCTTATCTTTTTTAATAAAGAAGAAGAGAAAGTAGATTCATTCGCAAGAAACCAAGGAGGTTATTTCCCATATGGAAAGCAGCATTGGCAAGACTCTAGATGTCAACAAACCAACTCCAATAGAGTTTATTAGTACCCCTCACCTCACTCAGGTTGAGGGATCAAATGCTGCCATGAGCAAGTTTACATGTAACCATAAAAAAAAGATCGTAAATGTCAAACATCTTTAGACCCCCTATATCTTCAGCATTATGTGAAAGACAATCTTTAGAAACATACAAAGGGGCTGGAACCAAAAAGACCTTGCCAAAGTGGAAGCAATAATTAGATGATTCGGGCTTCGCTACTTCTCTCTGCTTAACTATGAATTTGATATCTTACGTTTCCTTTCTTGGGTGTCTGGGATGCTTCATTTATTAGTTACAATGATTTTATTATGTGCAGCACTAATAGATGCTGTAAGGGAAGATGTCTCTGCACTCACATTGCTTGCAGAGGTCTTATGTCTGTTAGATATGATTGTCAATTCATTTGCTCATAGTATATCTACCAAGCCTGTTGACCGATATACTAGGCCAGAATTTACAGGTAATTTTTGGTGTAAATAGATAAATAAAATCTGATACTTAACCTGTTATTTTGTTTGTAAATAGCTCTACTTTTTTTTCCAGTTTTTTACCATTAAATTTCTATAATTTGATCTCTTGTAATGTGCTATAAATAGCACATTGATGCTCATTAATAAAATACCCGAGTATTTTTATCCATAAATGTGCATGATATCAGAGCTAGAATTATCTTTTTGGGTCACTTGAGTCAGTCAAACTCCTCACTGTTGCTGATTCTTTCTTTCAACTCTCTCTCTCTTCCCATCCTTCATGTTCAAGTCTTGTTCATTAAAGATATAAATGTTCTCTGATATTTAATTTGTTAATAACTCTACTTTTTAGTTTTTTGTAATTAAGTTTCTACAGCAGTTCTCATGTAATTTACTATAAGTAGTATGCTGATATTCGTTAATAAGACACCTGAGAATATTTATCCATAAATTGTGCAGGTTGTATATTCACTGCACAGTTACACGCACAATGCTGAAAATATTTCAATAGTGTCTTATTACTGGCAGAGAATGGTCCATTTACTATAAGTAGTATGCTGATATTCGTTAATAAGACACCCGAGAATATTTATCCATAAATTGTGCAGGCTGTATATTCACTGCACAGTTACACGCACAATGATGAAAATATTTCATTAGTGTCTTATTACTGGCAGAGAATGGTCCATTGGCAATTGATGCTGGAAGGCACCCTATCCTAGAATGCATGCACAATGACTTCATTGTACGTTCTTTTTGTTTCTTAATAACATGCCCCAAGAAACCTTTGCCACATTCTTCAACAAATATTCTTTTTGAATGTTTTTAGAGCCCAAGAAAGCCTTTGCAACTTTATCTTCAACTGCATATTTCCCTTTTTTCTCATTCGATCTATGATTGATTTATTTGGCTTGCAGCCCAATAATATCTTTGTTTCAGAAGCATCAAATATGCTGATTGTCACAGGCCCAAACATGTAAGAAATTGTTTGTTGTAAATTGTATGCACTTGATTTTTTGTGGAAATAATTATTAACTACTGTCTATTGGTTGATGCTTGACTATGGAAGGACTTTTAAGTACACTTTCAAACATTTTCTCTTGAATGGTGCTCACACTTAGATAGGCAAACTCCCTTATATAATCGTGTTAACTATTTAATATAATAAAATTGTTTTAAATACTATTTTTATTAATTAAGTTATCAGAAATGATAATGGTGATATACTCAAGTGAGAAGAACTGTGAGTGCTTGTGATTATTATTTAGTGTGTTTGTGTGATGCGTGATATTTAAATAATGATAAACAACAATTTAAAGTAAAGAGGAATGGGAAGAGAATGCAAACTCTTTTATATAAGTTCAACCAGTACCACTTGTGCCTAAGTCCTTTTTCTCAAGGTAACCACTTGATATTCTATTATTTTCTTCAAAGTAATACACCAAGTTAGTTGTTCATGTTGCCTAACTCATGAACCACTTGTGTTCCTCCAAACAGTAATAGTCTATTTGTCAAGGTATGAAGCTCACCTATTATTTGTGTTTGTCCAAATGCTACAGCTTGTTTGTAACGGCCCCGGAAATTTAAAATTAAATATGTGTATTAAAAAGGTCAAATGTGGAAGCGTAATAAAAATTTTGATTAAACATCCCTTACACTAAAATAAAAAACGTGCTCAAAGTATAAAAGAACAAACTAACTAAAAGAGAAACTCGAAAATAAAAACTATAAATATGACTACGGAGTCTTCAGGCGTCCCCTTCGCCGTCTTCCTGCGGAACGGGCTCGGAAACAATGTCTTCCTGATCTGAAATGATTAAATAAGGAATGAGCTACACCAGCCCAGTAAAGATATCATACTATCTCACCGTCACGGAGGTAAAGGTGGGTAGAAAACACAAAAGGACCAATGGAGCATAGTTTACAACAAATTCTTTTATCAATAATAAAAGCCTTTACTATCCACTTATCTCGGTGAAATTCATAAAACAATATACGAAAGCAATAACATTATCATCATCACGAAATCATAGAAACTGTATAACATAATACTTATCACGCCTTTTGCATTTCAATCATTATACAACATATTTTTCCTTATTTACCAGCCTACTAGTATCCATGGGATCCATAAGGGGTCCCGCTACCCGTGAACCCTTAACACTTGTAATCAGATTCCAGGCCGTCCCCATACCCCGTCCGGTATGGGCGCAAACTATAAACTCATACCCGTCCGGTATGAGAGACCACGATCCCGGTAGGGTTCCCTACGGACCCGGTCCGTCCACCATCTCCCAGGATATCTAGTCAGGCTGACCACATTATACAATTATCAATTTACATAACCTTTCATTCCCTTTTTCCTCTGTCAGCATCATCAATTCGCAAACAAACAAGCAAACCAGTAATTTATGCCAAACAAGACAACATACAACATCGGGTTCTCAGTCATTCAACCCATAATCAATAAAACAGTAATCTGTGCACACGAAATTATGAAATGAAAACATAAGACCTCATACTGCATTTAAAATCGTAAAATAGGCCAAGCAACAGCTAACAGACAAACACATCAGACTCGGGCTCCATTAGCGATCTTAAACAATTTCACACATCTGTTGATTCATGAAATACCGTTTTATCATTTATTAAACTTTAATACCGTGATAGGAAGTAGAGTGAGGGGTCCTTACTCGTTACGGAGTCCGAACACGGCTCCACAGTGCGCCTACAGGCTGTCCCTAATTTTCCCTGAATTTTTTCCAGGGAACTGAAACGCACTACTGGTACCTGCACGTGTCCCAAAAAATCCCAAATTAGACCCAGGGCCCCTTTCGGCCAATATCGCAATTCCAGCACGGCGGCTCCGCCGTGCTCTGGCGACGCCGCCGCCGCTTGCGGCGGCAATTCGCCTCGGGTTGGCCTTTTTGGCCGAATTCGGCCACACTTGCATCGGTCCCTGCGATAAAACAACCCTAGGGCCCTCGGGGGGCCAAAAAATTATGAAAAATCGAAGCTTACCGGCGGCAGTGCTCTCGGGTGCGGCGGCTCTCCGGCGAGGTTCGTGTTTTGGTGATTCGGCTCCGATCAACCTGTAGAGAAAAGAATGGTGATCACGGTGATATAAAAATTGTATCAAACGGAGGCCGGGAAGGGCCTCATCAGAGGCAAAAACCGAGGAGGGGCGCGGCGGCGCCACTGGGTTTCGGCCGTGTTTTCCGGCCGTTTGGCCGGGATTTTGGCTCCAATTTGGCCACAGGGGAACTCAGCGTGGAAAAACGAGTCGGGGGTATGAAATTTACCTCGATCGGCGGTCGAAAAACTCCCCGGTGCGGCGGCGGGTGGCGGCGGCCGGCTCCTCCGGCGTCTGGTTCGTCTTCTCCGGCGAGGGCAGGCGGCTAGGGTTTTTTTTGGTCAGGTGTGGGGGTTTTATTTATACCCTTTTGTCTTTTGATCACAGCCGTTCATTTTGATTAAATCTGACCGTCCGTTCTTGATTGAATCTGGGCCGTCCGTGCGCGTACATCTGGGCCGTCCGTGCGATTGCATCTGAGCCGTTCGTGCGCACGCTTGATCTGGGCCGTCCGTGCGCGCGGGGACGCATCTGGGCCGTCCGATCGTGCGTACGCGGATCGCTCACGTGGCCCGTTCCCCGGTCGACGTGGTCTTGCCACGCGGCAGGTCCTGGTTGGCCAGGGCTGCTGACTGGGCCGCTGACGTGGCTGCTGACATGGCGCTAACAGGGCACAATTTTTCTAAATTGCGTTTTGACCCCCGGTTTCCGATTTTCTTTTCAAAAATACCCCCAGAATCCTAATTTTCACCCATTTTTCCCAAAATCAATTTCAATTAAATCCAAATAATATTTTTACCCAATTTTACAATTATTATTATTTTTATTATTATATTAAATTAAATTAAAATAAACAAAATAAAATAAAATAAATAAAAATAAAATTAATAATAATAATAAAAATAATTTAAAATTATTTGGGCGTTACATTGTTTATCAAGGTGACAAGCGCATCTATTACTCGTGTTCCCTCCAACACTAAGACTTGTCTGTTAAGTGATAAGCTCAACTTTTTCTTGTGTTTCTCCTATCACTATAACTTGTCTATCAAAGCATCAAACTCATTTTTTACAGAACTTGTTAAACAATCCTCTCTTATAATGCCCCAGAAAATAAAAATGAAGAATTTACAGCTTTCTCTCTCAAAGAGTAGATCTACAAATGAAAAACTCACTTTGAGGCTCAATGAAGGTTCAAGAGAATGAAGAAGATTTTTTTTTTGAATTTCACGTTTTTGCTCAAAGTCTCTCACTTTAAATTCTGTTGGAGGCATTTATTTACATATAGCAAGGTCAAAAAAACCGTTAAAGACTATTTGAATTTGGTTTGACCTCCAAAAAGGTGGTGTAAAATTTTATACAAAATGTACAAGAAATTCTATTTGATGTGTTCTAAAACATTAACAATTTGAATTAAAATGATAGTCAACTCTAGAAAATTGTTTCGTGTCAATACTATTTCTTTAACAGTATACACAGTTTTGATTGACAATTTTTAAACGTTCAAAAAGATATTTTGATTTGAAAGTCAATATGATTCACAATAAGATATAAATCCAACAAACAACCAATCATACACAATGTTAAAAGTGTATTTTTTTGTGTTTTGAGTAATGTTCTGCTGAGTCACTTCTTAAGTCATATCAGCCATTTAATACAATATCTTTTAAGTATATGAAATAATTATTCGAATTACATATACTGACAAACAAATAAATATTTTTAATAAAATTTTTTTGAAGTTATAAATCTCATTTCGGAGATAATTTTAAAAATTGTTTTTAAAAAACTAATCTATTTAGAAGTAATGAGAAATTAACTTTAAAAGTAATGATATTTTTAAAGAGATTTTTCAAAAAAAAAAAAAAAATTTGAATCTTGAACCATAAATTCCTAATTACATAGAATACAAACAAATTTAAAATAAATTTATTTTCTGTCTTCATTTATGTCTCTTCTTGTTGATGCCCTTGCAATCTTTCTCGTTTTGTTTCTCTTTCTTGCATCATACCTTTCATGCTAATTCAAAAACTCATATGATATTGTTAGTGTTAAAATAAGTTTGTCATTCACCAAAATCAATAGATTATTTAATCTTGTTCAACACCTTATATAATGTTTCTGTGAGTATATCCAAATGTAGTGATTTCAAACATATAGGATCCACCGTTAGTAGAGGTTGCTTGCGTAGTTCACTTGTCATTGATGCTTCTTGGGAAAAGAAACACAAGTTTTAAATTGGGTGCAGGGACATTTTGGGCTAAAAAAGTGAAAGGTCTTATCTAGAAAGGCTAGAAAAATCTTCTTCACTAATAATCTACTCTTCTATTTTGTCAGGACAATTTAGCTTATACAATTTAACTTTGAAATGTTAGAAAAATCATCTTCTATGCAAATAGGTTATTTTGTTGAAATAGAAAATTTATTCACAATGGAGTAAGGATGTCCTAATAATCTACACTTGCAATCTATAATTCTGAGTTGTATGCAAAAAGGAGGAGGAAGAAACTTATTGTGAATCTTTTACTTCATATAAAGAGTTAGAGAAGAAGAATACTACATATTTCTTATATTTCATTCCATGAGTTTAGGGGTATATATATATAGAAGGGAGATTTATATATAGAAATATAAATCACTCTATTAATGCTAGGAAATTAAATGATAATTACATAAGAATATTCCTTAATATGTTTTGTAATATTCTAACACTCTCCCTCAAGTTGAAGTATGCATATTAATCATATCCAGCTTGTTACGAATATATTCAATTCGGGTTCTATTCAAAATCTTTGTGAATATATCACCTAATTGTTCCCCTGTTTTCATATAACTGGTAGAAATCAAGTTCTCCTGAATCTTCTCACGAATGAAGTGACACTAAATCTTAATATGTTTAGTTTT